ATTATTTTTTTAGTATTAAAATGAAGTTTAATCGAAACATTCAACCTATTTTTCTTAATTTCATGACTACTGTATTCAACATATTTTCAAAACTATTGTTTACCATGTTACCAGCTGCATAAATACTTGAAACTTTGAAAATAATCTTTGTTTAATATAACAATTAATGTCCGATGGCCCATTGACTTGAAAAAATATTCTATACATATGAAATTGACAGTGGGCGGGGGTACCCGCTGGGCGGGGCTACCCGACTCTCCCCTATATATATTTTGATATGTATTTTCATATGTTTTAATTATTTTTTTTGTATTTATTTCCATTTGTTTTGTTACGCATTTAATTATTTTTGTCAGATCTGAAATAAAAAAGTGTTTATTAATGTTATGTGTAGTTATTTTTTTATGAGTAGAAAAAAAAAAGTACACGATTGGAATGGTAGTACTGTATATTTCTTATCTGAAAACATTCCGCACATTCATGCACGTGCCTAGTCTGCTTAGATTGCATCAAATTGTGAGCGAGAAATGTAAGGTTTGATTTCCTTGTAGTACAAACCACGTTCTTTAGAAAGTACACAACCCCTTTTTGAAGAAAATGGTTCTGGAGAAATATATTTTTCTTTTGGAAACTAACTATCTCTAAGACAAAAATAACTTTCAGTCTAGAAACTAAGCAAACAAATGAATTAATAAAGATGGGGGACAAATTAAAAATATTTGGCTTTAGTTTTCTCTAAATGAAAATACTATACTTCTTATTGCCACATTTGTTATCTTTATCTTTCCCAGTCTCTTTCTAGAGCAGTGTTTCTTAACTTTTTTGATACAATGGACCACTTTTAAAAATTTTTTAAGAAGTCACGGACCACCCCCCTGTGAAAAAAAATAGTTTCAAAACACATCAATTATTAGAAAACATTTAATTTTATTATTTTAATAGTATACAAAATTTTTAATGTGAAGGTTGCTGCTGCTTTTCCTTAATTAATAAATTTAATTGGGGGATGGTTTTCGACTAAGCAACGTGTATATCATGTTCAACATTCAATCGATTTCGATGTTATATTTTTATTGTCACAAGTGTGGAAAATTCCGCTTCGCAAAGATACACTGTAGCAAACGGAATTATAGCTGCCATAGTTCGATTTACAAGCAATGGGTAGGCTTCCAAACGTTTTAAAAATTAGGAGTAGTCAGTGAACCCCCAAAATATAACTCATGGACGCCTTAGGTGTTCATGAACCACAGGTTAAGAAACCCTGTTCTAGAGCATTATTCAAACACTTATATTTGCCAGTCAATATATTTAACTTTTAACATGAGGTTACTTGGTTTTAATTTCGCTTAAGAGTTTTCTTTTGAGCATATATTTAAGGCCATATAGGGCCACTTTCACTTAAGTATTTTGTAGGAAAAAAACTATGAACATGCTGATCTATGGAATATTAGAAATCCTGAAACTTTTTTATTTTTATGACCTAAACTTAGATTGTTGCAGTTTTTTTTAGAATTCTTCGAGCACTCAACCGTCATAGAATTGTCACCTTTTGTTATGTTAGGTGAAAGCTTTTTTCTAAAATTTAAGTTTGTGATTTTATTGTAGAAGTGGTTAAAATACAGCATTAAAATTGAAGTGTACCAATAAAAAATTGGGTTAAAGTGCAATATTTTAGACATTAAACGTATTTCTGTATATCGTTAATTTACATAGTATACCTTTGAGGTTTTCTTAGTTAAGGAAGAACGAAATTTCAAAGAAACACTACATTACAAAAAATGTAAGGTTTAACATGGATTTAACATAAATTAATTTTGAGTGAAACGAAAGGTAAAAGCATAAAAATTAAACATAAGTTAGGGATTTCAACTTCATTGGGATTATTAATTTAGAAATTTTCTTTCTTTTAAAGTTAAAATTAAAATGTGTGCAAAAATACTTAATATGTGATAACTGAAATATGTATTGAGGGTTAATTTAAAGTGGTTGTAACGAATTTACAATATTTGAGAAACTGCTATGTAAACGAATTTACATCTGGATGAAATTTAGAGAGGTTTTTAAACAAAGGAAAAATGTAAATCAATATTAGCGATATTCTTGTCACTAAACTATAAACTGTAATTACATATTTTATATCGATTATCTTAAGAAAAACCATTTTGATTATTTTTAGACTAGAAAATAACAGTGATTAGCTCCACAAAATTCTTTTGCAGACTAAAGTTTAAGTTGGTCAAAATTTAAGTTTAGCTAGATCATAAAGGTAATATTGTCAATGAACGCAAAGTTACACATTCTCGTATTAAAAATCTCCAAAATGAAATATTAAAAGTTGTTCCTTATTTGAGTTTGTAAACAGATCTCCGAATTCAAAATTTGTTTAAACTTGTCAGACATATTTACTATATTGAATTTAAAATTTTAATTTTTAAATCTTGTATTATGTGTGTGACATTGAGTCACCAAATCTTAATTTTTCTGTTGGGATTGTGACCTAGAAATTAGGCCGACACCCCTGACCCCTCTACTGTGACGCCTGTGACCTTCGGCAGCCTTTGATGTCAGCACATGGTTTTTAGTTACTGTATGGTCACCGTTAGTGTTTAATTATGCTTAAATTTAAGGGGTTAGTCAACTCACTTCAATTTTCTCCTTAAGCAAGGTTCTTGTTGCTTTTTAGGGAATTTAACTTCCACTTCTTGCGTTTTCTTTAAGGCTGTTGCTTGGCTGACCGCCTTTTTAATAAATAGAGGCATTTGATTGGTCGATTACATCATCGTTTTCATCGTTATCGCTTAATCGTTTTGTCAGGTTTACTAGAATGGCGTTTTTAGCATTTTTGTTTGGCGCAATTTTAATAACGCGCATGCTCAGTTTGATAATTTATTCAAACCAATCGAAGTACTTCATAGACAATGAATATAGAGGCTTATATCCCCTCCTTTGCTCGTGTATACTCAAACAAAGACATAAAGATGGAAAGATCAATCACTGTACCAAACAGATGTCAGGGTGAACTTTGACACTGGACATAAATAACATTCTGTCTCTGTGCCAGAAAAATCTGAACACATTTTTTTTAAAGATTTATAATTTGTAAATTTTAAATGAAAAAATTAATGTAAATTAAAAAATTGATTTTTATATTGTTCTGAAATTCAAATACTTGAAATAAATATTAAAAAAACAATTTAAGTGCTTATTAAAAATATATAAAAAATATAAAAGTAACTAAAAAATAAATAAAATAATTAAAATAAAATAGAACAGTTTTATAAGCAATCTAAGCTGCCCAAAGCATTTAATTTCATGATGAACAATAAATTGGAAAATGTTAATAATTGCTGAGATAGAGTCTCATAATTGCCTGTTAGCGTTCAGTTAGTTAGTTATTAAAACTTTTTCATGGTTTTCATTTGTGCGTAATGTAAATTCTAAAAAATGCGTGATGCGTAATCAAAAAAAATCGGGCATCCAAGCTCTTGGCGATAGAATTAGTTTGCAATCACCCATTTCAGCTGATCGCCAAAGTTTAGGGTTATAAAACGGCGGGCATTCAAGACAGTGCGTTCCTATGAAGATAGAGATCCTTTCACAAATCAAGGAGCAAAGAACGTACAGAAACAGGTGGTCAAAACCATTTTAAAATTTGTTTTTACAGCTCAACTTTCCCTTATGCAATCGACTTGCATTTCGGAAACTGAGTTACCATATAAAGCACTAAAAACATTTTTTTACGTTATAATTCGCAAAATCACTGGTTGAGTTCAACAGATCACACTTAAAAGTTTAAAAAATTCAGTATGAATTCTCACTGTTATCATTAGAACACCCATCATTGTAAATGTAAATAAAAAGCACCTGATAAATATTGATTGAGAAGACTTTGATCAGAGAGGAAAAGGTTGTTCTTTCACTTAAACGTGAAAAAAAAAACTGCACCGATTTAAACTCTCTTCATTTCCAACCAATATTGTTAATTCATCCATATTAGTAATGTAATATTTTGAATGGTCACCATGGATTTCATAAGCGATACTCGCCATAGGGACAAAAGCCGTGAATCTCCCTATGTAGAAATCTCATCAAGCGATACTTGTGATTTCGAATCTGTTAGTTCTTCCCCAAGGAATAGAACGGGAAGTATTAATAGCTTTCTGGAAGAAGCAGAAATCGTTACTCCAGCCTCTGAAGAAATATATCGCATATCTAGTCATGAAATGCGACGCAAATTGAATGATTATTTCATGAATCCTATACAAAAATGGAGAATTAGAGGTCGGTTTCCATGGAAATTATCCATTAATTTAATAAACATTATAATTGCAACTATCCAAATGTGCCTTTTTGGATTTCATAGCTTTGAATATGTTAGACAACATTTAGATATGAAAATGACACTTAGCCATATCTTTTTAAAAGATTGGACTGCCGATGTTGCCGTTTATCCTCCTGGTACTGGACCGTACGCTTTGTACACCATACCGGAATTTTACGAGCACGTTGATAATGTTATTCAACAATATGGACACATTAATTCGACTGCCATTGGTATTTTTGGTTATGACACTCATAATGGGGTTCCCCTGCCTCTTGAATTTTGTGTCTCACAGTACAAAGGGAGAGTATACCCCGGGAATTCGACTATCGAGATTCACGATCTACCTCGGGAAACGTGTTTTTCCATCAATCCGTCATCTTTTGACACTTTTTCAACTGAATCTTTTCTTATCCATTCTAACTATTCAATCAATTTCAAAACTTTAGTATTTGTAAAATTGCATCTCCAGTTAAAGACTCTCTTTTTAAAATCGGCTAATAAATTAGACTTTCCCGAATGTTACAAACTCAAGATTGTCGTTTTGTACGACAACAGGGAACACGACGGACAGATGGAAATCAGCATGCCCATCAACTCCAACAAAGTTTTGTGTCACGTGAGGTCGCGGGTGGGTGACAAAAAAGAAGATTTGTATTATTTATTGAGGCAACTCTTAAACAGCTTTGTTATTATATTTAGCATTCTGTCGGGGATACTGTGTTTGAGGTCGTTGCACAGTGGATATAAACTTGCGAGGCAGACTGTACTCTTTTTCCGCCATTTCTACAACAAAGAAGTGCCTTTCGGGGAATTGTTAGATTTTGTGGATCTTTGGTATATCAACATCGCTATCAGTGATATCATGTTGGTATTTGGTTCCTTGATAAAAATGCAAATTGAAGAAGAGAGTGCTGAAGGATCAGAGTATGCAAAGTGTTCCATTCTTCTGGGTGTTGGAAACTTATTGATCTGGATAGGAATTCTGAGATATTTAGGTTTTTTTGACAAGTACAACATGCTTATATTGACCTTGAAGAAGGCTTTGCCCAATGTTCTAAGGTTTCTTATATGCGCCGTCTTTCTTTTCCTCGGGTACACTTTCTGCGGTTGGATTGTGCTGGGACCTTATCACATCAAATTTCGCACTCTCAGTCGAACGGCTGAGTGCTTGTTTGCGATAATGAATGGGGACGATATGTTTGCAACCTTTGCCTTATTAGACACGAAGCTCGACGTCATCTGGTGGTTTGCAAGATTTTATTTGTACTCTTTTCTTTTGATATTTATTTATGTTGTTGTATCTTTATTTATATCTGTAATAATGGACACTTATGAAACAATAAAACATCTGTATTCGCATGGCGCAGAGCCAAAGAAAATAGTAGAAATTTTTCTCGCAGCGGAGGCGCAAGAACCGTCTGCTCCTTCGGACGTAGATCGAGATGACGGTACAAATTCAATTAAAAAAATGTGGCATTGGGTTAGACTTCACTCTTGGCTTAAATGATGCAAGATTTGTAATTATTGTCAGGATTTTATAGTCAATAATAAAATGTATTATTTATTTCATTTTATTTTTTTTTAAATATTTTGTTGATTTATAAAGTTTGAATCACATTCTAATCTCAAAAGTTCATCTGAATCATATAAACATTTTATTATAATTAAGAGTTAATTAATTTTATAATTGTCTGATAGTATATCTCAATACATGTTAATTATTTTGATAAAAGCCATTGAACGATTATTTTATAGTTTGAATATGTTTGCAGCTTTTTTTTTCTTTTTGAAATTTCTAAAGCTGGAAATTTCTTTTTTTCCTATAAATAATAAAACTCCATTTGTTGGGAAGATCTTAACCTTTATGGAAAAATTATTGTGTACTTTAGGTTTGGAAAACTCTGGTCTACATTAGCAAAGAATTTAAATTATAATATTTATAGAATTTGAAATATATATATAAAAAAGTCTTTGTTGATGCTACAAATTTTGATTACCTGAAATCAGGGCATTTATAACATTTATTTCAGTGTGAAATGCTATTTTTATAATATGTGATGCAATTAAATTTTAATTAATATGATTAGATATATACAGAAACAATTACTAGTCATTTTTTAAATTTTAAAAAATAGATTTGAAAGTTATTTTAAAAAATGTCTGAAACAAACTTTTTTACAACAATAAATTCATGAAATAATTGTTGATACTGTACAACGCTTCTCAAAGTAATTTATCTTTTGCCATTAAAATTGCTGCTAAATCTTCAACTCTTTTTATTGCTTATGCCTGTCACTACTCATAAAAATTCATCTGTAACTGATTTTACAATATTTGACTTGCCATTGAATAAGTCAATACTACTGTGATAAAGATAACATTTTGAGATATTTTTATTGTGATTTTATCTTTATTGTATTAGTGATAAATATTTCATAGCATTTTTTATTTTGGGGTTTCTTTTTGTTGCCTATTCATAGTAAGAAGAAGAAGATTAAGTGCCTGCTTAACATCACATTTTTGTTTAATTTTAGTGCATAAACTTCAGTTATGTTCATTTGTGTTAATTCATAAAGATTTTAAATAACAACCACACTTTTTATCAAATAAGCATGTGAATTTATTTAAAATGAAATTGCTTCTTTTTTCCCCCCCTCAGGGTAATACTTATTAAGAAATGAAAGATATTTTAATGTAAAATTTTTTTTTCTTTTTAATTTTTGCTTAGATGTGTTATGAATTTTTGGTAATTTTGTTATGAAAAAATTTATTTCCAGTTATACAGATAAAGTATTATCCTGCATTTTCAGTCTTGTTTATTCTCCTGACTGTTAGAGTAAAACCATTTTTTATCAAATGTCTTAGATTTCCAAACAAATTCCTTCTGCATTTTCTTTTTTTTTTAAATTTACCTTTTTTGGTGTCTCTGATCTATTTGGGTAACAATATTGAATGCTAGAAAAAGGAACTTTTTAGGTTTTCCTTTTCTTTAAATTTTTTTTTTTTTAAGTGAAATTGGACAAGGTTAATGAAAAACTACATTTATTGTTAACATCTATATATATATGTGTGTGTGTGTGTGTGTGTTTATTTTGTTAAAATTATATATATATATATTTCATTTTTGTCTGCTATTAATATATTTTAGTTCCGTCCTTTAATTGAAAGCATATACTATTATCTCGTATAACAACAGATGAAAAGGCTAAAAACAGTTACTTAAAGTTTTCTCTTCTTTTATTTCGATTAAGAAGGCTGCTTTATGGCAATAAATCCAGCTTATTTTACCTATATTCAAAAGTAGCAAAAATGAAAAATAGTATGAATTTTCAAAAAAGCTGCTAGTTTTTGACTTAAAATATGCACTATGTTCATTTTTGGAATATAATTTGTAAATAGGAGCGGGAGAATGTTATGAAGACTGTGTACAGAAATTATAATTGAAATCTGATATTAAGTGATACTTGGCAGGGCTCTGTTTAGAAGAAATTTGGTTCCGTTAACGAACCCTTCACAAAATATTTTTTCATACCTTCGCAAAATAATTTATCTTTTAATCGGACCCTTCACAAATTTGTTTATCCTCATTATTGTTTTGTCAATCGAATAAACCCTTCCCGGAGGAGGGGGGGAGACGGTTCGAAACGAACTAAGTTTATAAAGTTTCCCTAAGTTTAAATTCCAAATGTAGTATTCTAAGAAAATATTTCTACTTCTACAAACATCGTGTGCACATTCTTATTGATATTAAATGATAATTGTTTTGTAAATAATTGATCAATTTATATTTATTCATAAAATTAATTAATAGAATATTATGTAAATAAAAATTAATTTCTGGCAATTTTTTAAATAAAATATTATAAATTTAGGAATTGTTTAAATTTTTTTAATGCGTAACACATTAAAAGTGATACATTACTAAGTTGTGTGTTATTAAAAATGTGAGTGATTTTGTTTCCATTATTTGTTCGAAATGAATATTCTGCTTCGAGCAGTATAGGCTAAATACCAAATATTTGTCTGTTGCATCTCTAATTTAGTAGCAGCAATTGTTGTGCAGAATCTTGTATCTATTTACAATTTAAAAACTCCTTGAAAAAGTTTTTTGCAATAACAGGACCTTATTTGCACAAATTCACAAAAGCAGACCCTGGTTGAAAGAATGTGACTTAACGCTTATTTTATATTCACAAATTATGAGTAGTTTTTTTTATAAAATCTCTGGACAGATCCCTGCTCGGTATTGAAGTTGTTTTTCAACGAAAGACAACTCATCCGCAATGTCAAATTTTTGACTATAAAAACTCTTATAATTATTTTTTCCTAAAACATTTACCCTTTCTCAATTGTGATCTACTTAATATTTTATGTTTTAAAGTGGGGTTTTTCTCCCCAAAGTGTGTCACATACTGTACTGTAAAACTATATTATATTGATTTATTTTACAGCGTGCAAGTTAAAACAAATTTCGCTTAAAACATTGACTTAATGGCTGTATAATTTGCATAAATAAAATAAATTTGAATTATTTGTATATGAATGGACTGATAACTTTAATCACATTTGCAATTTTAACTGGATAATAATTGTTGTTCTGCAATATTTATTATTATTTGTAAATAATTTTGTAGTATTATGTAACATGCTAGTCATAAATGTTTGTATACAAATGTATTAATTATAGTGTGGCAATCAGGAGAACTCCTCCAGGCATCAGTCTCGCGTGGTGACGGGTACCGTGGTTATGAGGAAAAGTCACTTCGAATAGGGGTGTGGGTGGATAGTCTTGATCTTTGCATAGGTCAGTGTGAGTAAACCAATTGACGCCTTCATTCCTCCATTGCACCCCTATTAGAAATGTGCTCTCGTTGTAACCATAGCAGCAGACAGCCTTAGACTTTTAGTCTGAAGGAGTTCTCCTCAAAGTCGCACAATAGCTTTATTTTATTTTCTTACAACATGCTGCTCTATGTGATACGATTAAATAACTTCAATGTGAAAAATATTTTAACAAAATAATGTTGCTTGTTATAGAGAAGATTTGTATTAAAGACAGTTGAATGTTCTGATTGTAAAATATTATTTGTATTTAATCCTCAATTAAAATTATTTGGATAAGTTTAAATTTTTTTTCTCTCTATTTGGAAGTGTGAAATACTTGAGCGTTTAAAAGAAAGGCTGCAAGATAGTAAATCAAACAAGAATTATAAAACACATAGCAATTTATTTTTTATAATAAATCATATAGGAGCTACGATGACTCAGGGGATAGAGCGTTCGCCTTCCAATAAGGTGAATCGGTTCGAATCCCGGGCATAGCTGGTCGATATGAACCTGCGTCCCGCTTGCACCGACCACTGTGCTGACATGAAATATCCTCAGTGGTACACAGATCAAGGATTAGAGTCTCTTTGCCGTCAGGCTCACCGTTGGAGGTTCTCGTGGTCTTCCTCCAAGGCCGGATTAACCATTAGGCACACTAAGCACGTGCTTAGGGCACCAGAGGATAGGGGGGCGCCACAAAGCCTAACTAAATGTTCGCAGTATATATATATATATATTTTTTTTTTTTGAAATATTGATAATAAATTTATTATTTTGAGCTTCCATTTTAAGAGTAGATAACAATCATTTCTAAGTACGAAATTTCACATAATAAAAGAAAGAAAAAAACGAAAGATGTTTTGTATCAAAAATTTTCGGTCTTATAATGAAATTAGGTAGTGAATTTTTATGCGATAAAAGCTCTATTCATGGCCGGATTTACGTATAAGCTGTAGCTTGGGGCCCCCCAGATTTCACTTTTTTCTTCTTTTTTTTAAAAGTTTTATTAGGAGCTGAGGCCCTCTGAAGCCCAAAATGCATATTTGTTAATCGTTTTTACATTGTCGGGTGTTTTTCAAATGTTTTTATTAAATCAACTTTGGTAGTGGTTAGGGGAAAACATGGAAGGTTTGCATAGTTTTTAATTCATACGTTTCTTAATATAATAAATTTCAAAGTTAAAATTAATAATTATCTAAGAGCTTGTGATATTTGCCCCCTATTTGCATCAATACTTTTTACTTAATTTATAAACTCTGTCAAATTAAAAAATATTTTTCATAAATAATTTTTTAAGAGCTAAAGAACGGGGTCAAACCCAGTTCTTTAGCCCAGTCTTAAACCTTCTTACTAAAGGGTAATTTGACCTACTTTGCTCTGATGGATGAGTATTTCAAGAGCCAACAAAGCAATAAGTAAGTGTCTGAAAAATGTGATAGCTAATTTTGTTTAAAGAAACTTCAAACCTAATAGTTATTTACTGATGAAAAGTGAGAAATCTGAAGCACCATAGTTAAAATGAATATTAAGGTTGATTCAGTAATTTTAACTATTGGAGAGAAATATATATCTTTTATAAATTTATTTAGTTTTTCTTTCCTTTAATACTTTTTGATTTCTTCTTATTTATTTAAATGGTGGGCCACTATTCAATCCCCTCTTTGACAGCCTATCAGCCAAAATTCCTGATTTGGTTTATTCTGGATGAAATTGAGATAACAGATGTAATATTATTTTAATTTTACTTACTGCTAATAGACAGAAACAGCATGTGATTATGCTTGATAGACCATTGAAATCAAGTGGTCATCAGCTAAACAAATGTTTAAATAAGAGAAGAAGAAAAAACCTCCTGTATGACCAAATTTGTCATGTTTCCCCTAAATATAAAATATGTTTAATTGGTAATATTATATTGCATTCTCAAAATTCAATTATTTAGTTAACTTATGATTTTATTGTTTATTGATGACTTGTTTCTATTTTTAAGTCCTTGATTTTTGTTGTTATTATGTATTTAAAGCTAATAAGACTTAAATTGTTTAATTAATAAGGCTCTTAAATTTTTAAATCAAAGTCGAAACAATTTCTTAAAATTATAAATCGAAACTTTTTATGAAATTTGGACAGCTTTGTTTTTATTTTAAACGTATGCATTGGAAATAAAATACAATGTGAGGTAATGCAAAGTAATTTCAAATTGCTTACTATTTCTAAATTAATAATTTGGAAAGCACTTTTCTTTATAAAAGAATTTGGTTATTTTATTTTGATTTAAAAAGTGTGGTATGAAATAATAATGTAATATTTTATGAATGCTTATTCTTTTTCTAATTTGTTCAACATTCAACATATTGTTTTTAGAAATATATATTCATTTAAAAAATACCATTTCTATTTAATTGGTATTTTACTTCAAATAATTTAATAAAGGAAACCGAAATATTATATAAGATATGATTTATAGTTCGGATCTAAATATAATGAGAGATTATAAAAAGTACTAACTGGAAGTTATAAATGTATTCATTCTGGTTATAAGAAGTACTAATTCGTGGAACCTCTTTAACTCTACACGGAACACTGAAGTTCCATAGAACACAGTTTGAAATTGCTTCTATCATGAAAAAATTTACCAAATTTTACCACATTTACTACCGAACAGCATGGTAAAAAACATGGTAAAACAGCATGGTAAAAATTGTATTTTCTTGTATTCTTTGAAACTCCTTGCATATTTTCTATACACCTTCATAATTTCTTATTTCTAAGTCTTATAAATTTTGAGCAGCCAAGCAAAATGTAAAGTAAGAAAAAAAAAATTTAGAAAAAAATTATCAAAAAATCATTTAAAATTTCAAATGACATATATTCAGAAGGAAAAAATCTGCTTAATATGGCCTTCCAGCATGCCAAATTTTTACTCTGTGCTTATGATGAGCTTAAAATGTGCTTCTGTTGTAACTTTTTTTCCTCGTTCAAAAAATATGTGCAATAAAAGAAAGGTTCTACATTATAGTCTCTTCACAATCAATATATTTAACAATCAAGTAATATCATATTCTCTAATAATATATTGCTAACATTCAACAATAAAATATAAGAGCAGTTTACTTTAGGTTTATAAAAATAGAATTGAACTTATGAGGGCCCCATCATTTTCAGTAGCTTCGGGCCCCACGAAGCTTAAATCCGGCCCTGGCTCTATTTATTTATCCATTACACTGATTCCATAACATACTGCTACGATTCATGTTTACGGAATATTTTTCGCAGTTGTAGCAAGTTAATACTCCGGCAATTTGATATTTTTATGAAAAAAAATTTAATTTACAAAATTTTGATGCAATGGTTTGATGATGTGAAAAAAAATCTATGTTTGCAGTTTTTGTGCATGTTTTTGTTTATACTACATAAAATATTTGCTTAAACTATAGTTTTAATTGTATTCTCATTGCAACTGCAAAAGAAGTCATCAAATTGCGTAAAGGTTGTGTTGCAAAAATTTACATCAAATAATTTTTTTTATTCACTACATTAAGAAAAAGGAGCTGTGTTTAAGTATCATTTTTCGAAAATTAGATTTAATCGATTCTATCGAGATTTAAAATATATACATACTACGTAATATGAATGCCAACAGCTAGTTTTTGAATAAGGAAAGAACCTCAATGTGAACCGAATGTTCGTTGACGGTGAAAAATACGTTAAGAAGAGTACCCATTAAAACTAATTTAACAATAAAATCAAATTTTCAATCATTGAATTTTGTTTAGTGCAAGTAAACTATACTTCGTGCATCTTATAACGAAACTTGTAAAAATTATAACTAAGAAATAAGAAAAGTACTGAAAATTTCTAATTAAAAATAAATAGCAAATTTAAGAAAGATATTTTTATTAATTGAATTTTAAAATATGTTTAATGACTAATAAGGAAAATCCTTAATGATAATGATTAT